TAACGCTATACCCTTCTTCCCAGAAGGATCCACCAGAGTGGGATGGGAACCCCAGGATCTGCTCCCCACAGCAGGGCTTGGGGTTCTGTCTCCTTCACCCCAACATACCCAACCCCCATCAGGTATCTTGGCTTGTCCTTAGGCAACATGGAGGTGCTTAGTGCCACCATCTTCCAGAACTGCGCCTTGCTCTCTCCCCCACTCAGTCCTCCGATGGCGAAGCCCGGGACATCCCTCTTGGTCATCTCTGAAAGAACACATGGCCCCAGCTTAGGAGGATTTAGGATTTTGTGATGTTACCAAAGGTCAGAGTGTACTCTAGTCACCACGCTGGATTTCCCTCAGCGGAACATTCCACTAATTTACCATAAAACCATAAAACAAAGCCTTGAGCCAGTTGTTTGGATACACCCTGGAATCCCAGCCACTCAGGAGGCCATGGCCGAAGGATCAAGAGTTTGTCCCAACCTGGGCTACACAGTGAGTCCCAGAACAACCTGGGTTACATAACGGAGGAAGGGAAAGCTAGGCGGTGGTGCCACACGCCTTTAATCCCAGCACCTGGGAGGCAGAGGCAGGTGGATCTCTGTGAGTTTGAGGTGAACCCAATCTACAGAGCAAGTTCCAGGGCAGCAGGGCAGGCAAAAACTGTTACATAGAGAAACCCTGTCTTGAAAAACTAAACAAAACAAAACAAAAAAAGAGGAAGGGAGAGGGTAGGGAGACGATGGGCCAAGAGGACAAGAGCACTGGCTGTTCTCTCAAGAGGACCAGGTTCAGATCTCAGCATCCACATGGCTCATAGCCATCTGCAATTCCGTACCAGAAGATCCAACACCCTCCTCTGGCCTTCTTGAGTCCTGCATAGATATGGTATACACACAGAAAAAAATTATACACATAAAATAAAAATAACTTTCTCCAGGCATGGTGATCCTGTCTCAAAAATTAAATGACAAATTTCAAAAATTGTAAGAAACAAAGATTAGAGATAGGAAGAAAGAAAGGGGGCGGGGAATGTTGTAACAGTCTCACAACCTCAGGAAGGACTAGGATGCTCAGCAGTTTAGATGTAGTAAACCCATGGGCAGGGGTGTAGCTCAGTGGTAGAGTGTTCATCTAGCAGGGGCAAGGCACTGCATCCAATCACCAGCAAACATCCCCTCAAAACAAATCCCATTTCCAATAATAGTCTTTCCAACTATAATGAGGGTGACCATCTGAAAGCCCTGCCACACTTGCTCCCTAGGAAAGACCCTGCCCCGAGACACAGCCCTACAAGGAAGGGAGAGACAGAAGCAACGAGTCTTGCTGGGGACCTACGTTGCCACTGCTGAATGCCCTCTGACTGAACGCAAGGCTCATTTGTATTACATTTGTTTATGTAATCATGAGATATGAATGCATCACCTAGTGCTCAGGGCACAACCTGCAGAACCCGTGAGTTCCAGGGATCAAACCGAGGCTGTGAGTATTGGCAGCAAGCTTCTCCAGCCACTCAGCCAGCTCATCGACTTTGATCATCAGAAGAGGCCCATGGCCCACAGTTCACACAGGAGAAAGCCAAATGTACTCTTGAATTTACCGTTTTCTAGAAACAAGGTTCCAAAGCCAGAGAACAAATGTACCCCTGGCACCCTAGCACTCGAGAGGCAGGAGAATCAGGAATTCAAGGCCACCCTGAACTACGTGAGAACTAGTCTCAAAAAGTGGGGAGGGCTGTGACTCGGTAGTGGGCTTGAGTATTATGCATCAGGTCCTGGGTTCAGCTCAGCAACAAATGGTCTGAGTTTGGTGGTGCATGCCAGTGATCTCAGCATTCAGAAGTGGAGGCAGGAGGATAAGTACAAGACCGTCCTCTGCTACACAGTGAGGCCCAGCAGCCTGGGCCACATGAAAGCCTGTCATAAGTTGATGCAGTATTTCAACAAAATATGTGAAAAGGGCTCAGTGGGCAACGGCACTTGCTGCCAAGCCTGATGACTTGGGTTCCATCCCCAGAATCCACATGGTGGAGAGAACCAGAGGGGAGATAAACAAAGACTCAACTTGGGACCAGTATTTGTCTCCATTACTTCCACTTTCTAGGCCGGCCCTACTGCACACTGCCGCATGCATCTGGCACTTGCAGCGTCCTTTGCCAGTTAACAGCTATGGCCAAAGCATCGTCCTTTGCCTGGACCTGGGCCACCTTTACCTGTACCCGACTCTACCTTTCAGGCAAGTGGTCCGAAGGTCGGCATTCAGTCCACCCTGGATGATAGCAAAGAGGTTCTGCTTGTCCTGATGCTGATGGGCTGCAATGCATCTGTCCAGCCAGCGCACAGACCTGCAAGAAGGTCCCAGGCAGGTCACTAAACCTCTAGTGGCTAGGGAGACGTAAGAGAAGCACACGGCCCAAATCCTTCACCCACGCACACACAACCCACACATACACAGACCTCTGCATGGCCTCCTCCACTCGAGGGCCTGTCACTGTGCTGCTCACCACATCGTCCAGCTGCATGATGATGTCAGAGCCTAGGGGTGAGAGGGCACTCTGGTGAGGGGCAGGGGGAGCAGAGGACCCTTGCAGGGACCACCACCTACTTGTCATCATGCTAATATTAGGAAACCTCTTTGGGTTTTTTATTTGGTTTTTGTTGTTGTTGTTGTATATATAGCCTTAGGGACCAGTGAGCTGGCGCCACAGTTAAATGTGCTTTCTTCCAGGTCTAACTACCCAAGTTCAACCCACAGAACCCACATGGTGGAAAGAGGAGACTGATCTCTGAAAATTATCACCATAGATCCCAGACTGTTCTCCAGCTCCCAATCCCCCTGCCGCTACCTGCACTGCATCCAGTTTTATAGGGAACTATTGAAATTATGCTCTGGACCCTGGGGCTATAGCTCGGTGGGTGTACAGATTGTCTAGCACACACAAGGACACGGGTTCCATCCACAGCACTGCATAAAGTAGGTGTCGTGGTTCAGGCCTGTGATCCCAGCATTCAGAAGGTGGAGGCCGAAGAATCAGGAGCCTGAGGCTGGGGCCTGGAGGGTTGGCTGCTCTTTCAGAGAACCTGGATCCTGAGCTTCAGTGCAGCCAGCACAGCATAGGGAGACCCTGTGTCTAAAATCAAGAACTAGGGCCATGCCTAGGGGTAGAGCCCCTGCCTAGACTCCCTGGATGATAGACTAAAACCTGTAATATGAAATTAACTTTTCCTCCCCAGGTTGCTTTTGGTCAAGATGTTACCACAGCAATAGAAAGCAAAACAGGACACCACACCAAGAGAACAGATTTGTCTTAAGATCAGTAGAAGGACCCAAAGAAACACATGTCACACAGCCAGGTAGGCTCCACTTAGTATAACAGGTACAGTTTCCATAAGAAGGCTCTGGGACAGAGACTGTAATAGACAAAGGAGAGGAGCTAGAGCTCATGTGTCAAGGCTCCAGCATGATGCGAAATCTAAACAATATAAATTGTCCTGGACTGTAGATCCAGCTCAGGAAGCAGAGTGTTCATCATATAGCGTGCATAGAGCCCTGCCTGGTCTGAGCCCCAGCTCAGATTAAAACTGGGCATGGTGGCGTTTGGCTGTACACCCACCACTCTGGATGTGGAGGGAGAGTTCAAAGTCAACTTCAGTTAAAGAGGGAGTGAGTTCCAGACCAGCCTAGACTACATAGGACTCTGTCTCAAAAATAAGACAAGAAAACAAAACTATATATATGGAAAAAAAAGAGGCCTAAAGCAATCCCTATCTCATGTTGTTGCCACCATTATTTCATTAAATTCAATTTGTTACTAAGAACAGTAACAGTTGGGTGTGGTGGCAACTGTCTTCAATCCTAGCACTCCAGAGGCAGAAACAGGGGTATCTCTATGTTTGAGGCTAGCCTGGTCTACCATTCTACATAACAAGTTCCAGGCCAGTCAAAGCTACATAGTGAGACCCTGTACAAAATAATAATAAAAAAGTAATAACAACATATATAGATATTGTGGGGGCCAGCCATGATAAGCTAAGTATGGGCAGGTCACCCAAAGGATGTTCTTTACTTCCAACCACTATCACAGCCAGAGTAGAACTCTGGCCATTGATTTAATAAGAGGCCTGAGTCTCAGTAGTTTACCCTGAAGCAATGCCTGGTTGCAGGAGTAACCACAAGCTGAGATTACCTGAGCTCCACCCAAGAACAGACCATTCAAAGGAAATACCTAAGGTTCCAACCTCTGTAGACTGGATCACCTGCCAGAACACACTCACCAGAACACACCTAGACAAATGTCAGCCAATCAGGGGTCCTAAAACCTCTGAAACCCCTCACCCCCACCTTTACTACTATAAAAACCTAAGTCTAACTGAGCTTGGGGCTCTCTGTTTATTCCAATACGTTGGATGTGCAGAGAGACCAAGTTTGCAAACTTGATTAAAATAAAGGCTCTTTGCTTTTACATACAGGACTCAGTCTCCCTGTTGGCTTTTGCGAGGACTTCGTGAATTTGGGCATAACAGATATAAACAAAAACAAATCAAAAAGGACAACTACATATCTGGTACTTTGTTTACACTACAGATATCACAAGTCAGAGATGGAAACAGGTTCTCACTGTGTAGCCCAGGCAGGGCTGGAACCCGCAACAATCTTCCCGCTAAGCTGCCACCACACACATTTTTTTTCATGTGTTTGTTTTGTTTCGGTCTGTTCACTGTGCTGGAGACCTAGTCCAGGGCATCGGCAAACACACCTAGCACAGGACCTATTCTTTATTCTTATTTTAGCTGGGTGAATGAGTCAAATTTGTAGATTTCCCAAACCACCTGTGGGTCTGAGGCCCTGAGGCTATTGGCAAGGTGAAGAGGGATGCAGCAACGTTTTCTTACCCAGAGCGTTCTGGATCTCCACAGACCTCTCTGGGCTCAAAAGTGTCTCTTGGCCGTCGTAGGGCGAGCGGAAGCGGACGCCCTCCTCAGTCACCTCGGACAGGGAGAACAGGGACACCATCTGGAAGCCGCCGCTATCCTGGGACAGAGACCACGCCGAGAAGCTGTCAGGAGATGGAGATTGGGGACCTCTCACCACAACGCAGCGCCCTAGGGCGGCGACCCCAACTCACCGTCAGCAGATTGTGCGGCCAATTCATGAAGCCGTGGAGACCCTGGGCTTTCTGGATCAACTCCGGACCCTGGGATACCGGAAGCAAGTGCCAAGTTAGGCGATAGCCCGCAGCTCTCGCCAGACCAGGCGGAGCCCAAGCACTGTGAGCCTCAGGAGGCTGGCTTTTTCCGAGGCGCGACCCGGCCTGGCTGCCCCCTCGCCGCCGCCCCCGGATCGAGTCCACCCACCGGCCTCAGCCCCAGATGGTAGGTGTTTCCCAAGCAGAGGCGGCAGCCCAGGCTAGCCAGCTGCTCCGCCGTGATTCCCTTCATGGTGGCCTGTGTTCCCACAGGCATGAACACAGGAGTGGCAACAGTTCCATGCGGCAGCCGCAGCTCGCCCGCCCGAGCTCTGGAACGACTGCACTCAGACACCAGCCGCATGATTCGTGGAGCGGACTCAAGCGAAGCAGGACTGCCTGCCGCCGCCATTTTCCGTCCCGGAACCACGTGGGCTGAGGCCACAGTGGACAGCGCCATGTTGCCTCGCATCACGTGACCGGGGAGCTACAGGGTGCTATGGCAACCGACGCCTAAAACCACCCCTCTCCGGGGTGTATTGCTTCCTGATGGCAAGTGAAGATTACTTCTAAACCGATGACCTGAGTTAAATCTCTGGGACCCACAAGAATGGGAACTGATTCCTGCAAATTCGCGTGTGCGGACACACAATAAATGCAATTCTAAAACACTTCAAGACATGTTTTTGTTTTTGTTTTTTTCCTACTGTATAAAATACAGCAGCTCGGGAGGCAGAGGCAGGTAGATCTCAGTGAGTTCAAGGCCAGCCTGGTCTACAAAGGGAGTTCCTGAACAGCCAGGACTGTTACACAGAGAAACCCTGTCTCAGGGGGTGTTCCCCAGGAATTCCAAGATTTGAGAGGCTGAGCAAAAAGGATTGTGTGGAGTCAGAGAACAGACCCAACACTACACAGTGAGTTTCTGGCCAGGCTGGGTTACCTAGAGAAGCAATCTCAACAACAGCAAAACCTTGAGCTGGGCCAGTTGTTGCACACCTTCGACAGCAGTGCTGGGAGGCAGAGGCAGGTGGAGCACTGGAAGTGGGAGGTTAGCCTGGTCTATATAGCAAACGTTAGGAGACTGAGCTGGAGGGGGGTGGGAGGCATTGTAGAGCACACGTGCAATCCCAGAACTTAGGAGCTAAAGACAAGAGAGTTAGGGGTTCAGCAGTTAAGAGTACTTGTTGCTCTTGCAGAGCATGGGTTCAATTCCCAGCACACACAACCACTTGTAACTCCAGTTCCAGAGAATCTGATGCCCTCCTCTAACCAGGCAGGTAGGTAGTGGTGCACATACATGTAAGCAAAATACTTATGTACACACACACAAAACAACTTTACAATTTTTTTAAGTAAAATAAAAAGCTTCCTGGCTGGCATGCAAAAGGCTGTGGGTTCTACCCCCAGCACACATACGCACATACACACAACACGGACACAGCATGAGAGTTGATATATTTCTGTACATGTATTTCATACATATAGTCCTAACTAGCCTCTGTCATTCTGTGTTCATTCTTTTCATTCATTCATTTTTTTTTTTTTTTTTTTTTTTTTTTTTTAATTTCAAGACAGGGTTTCTCTGTGTAGCCCTGACTGTCCTGAAACTCAGTAGTAGAGCAGGCTGGCCTCAAACTCACAGAGATATGCCTGCCTCTACTTCTTGAGTGCTGGAATTAGAGGCACGGCTCATTAATTAATTAATTAGAAGAGCTTAGAGGAAGACCCAGCATACAATCAAGAGCTCCATACACCAAGAGCTCCAGCCATTTTTTCAAAGGAATCCTAGCATTACAAAAATCCTAAATCCCAGGAACTCGTCCTCCATGATTACTTTATTCCCACCGTGTGAGATGCATAAGTGTGTGTGTATATACTCATGTTTTCCTGCGTCAGCCCTCTCCTAAACAGGAATAAAGCCAGGTGAGTTCATAGCCACATAAAGCTGTCACCTCTGCCAGCAGATGGCGCCATCGCCCCACATTCCCAACGGGCTGCAATGGGGAAACAGCTCTGGGTAGGGCTACTTTCACCATGAAAAAGGCTAAAGAACAAGTTTCCAGGGGTTGTGGGGATGCGTTTAGTGAGAATGCCTCAGAACACCAAACTCGAGGCATCATTCAGAAATACAGAACCTGCCCAGCATATTCAAGACCCTTGTGTTTGTGTAAGAGCAGAAGCTAAAGGATGTCCAATGTGCTCTATTACTCTGCAATTTTTTGTTGTATTTTGTTCTTTTGAGACAGGGTTTCTCTGTAGCTTTGTAGCCTGTCCTTGAACTAGCTCTTGTAAACCAGGCTGGCCTCAAACTCAGAGATCCACCTGCCTCTGCCTCCCGAGTGCTGGGATTAAAGAGAGGCCTGCACTAACACTGCCCGGCTTACTTTCCACTTTAACCCCTTAGGACAGTCTCTCACTGAACGAGAAGCTAGGCAGCAAGTCCCATTGATCCTCATGTCCACCATCCCCCTCCACACTCAAAGTGCTGGTGGTACAGGTCAGTCATTTTTAAAATTTTACATTAGTTATTTAGGTGGGTGGGTGTACACGTACCCACACACTTGCCACAGCACCCTTGGGTAGGTCAGAGGACCACTTTAAGAATCTGTTCTTTTGCCGGGCAGTGGTGGTGCATGCCTTTAATCCCAGCACTCAGGAGGCAGAGGCAGGTGGATCTTTGTGAGTTCGAGGTTAGCCTGGTCTACAAGAGCTAGTTCCAGGACAGGTTCCAAAGCTACAGAGAAACCCTATCTCAAAAAAACAAACAAACAACAAAAAAAAATCTGTTTTCTTATCATATGGGTCCCAGAAAGTCAAATTCAGATAGTCACCTTAATGCACTGATCCATCTCCCTAGAACCCATAGCAGCTACTTAAAATTGTTTGTTTTCAAGACAGGGTCTCTCCATATAGCCTTGGCTGGCCTGGAAATCAATCTGTAGACCAGGCTGGCCTCAGACTTAAGAGAGATCCACCTGCCTCTGCCTTCTTACCACTGGGATAAAGACATGCACCACCACCACCCGGCTTAAAATTTTTATGTACATATGTTTTACCTGAAAAACATCTGTGCACTGAATACATGCTATGCCTATGGAGGGACTAATCTCCTGGAACTGGAGTTAAAGCATGAGCCACCATGTGAATAATGGGACTAGAACCTGTCGAGCCATCGCTCCAGTTCTGTATTGGTTACTTTTTGAGACAAGGTAAGCTCTCACACAGTTCATGCTGACCTCAAATTCACTATGTAGCCGAGGCTGATCCTTCTACTTTCACTTTTTCCCCCTTTGTCAAAACAGGGTTTCTCCAGGTAGCCCTGGCTGGCCTTGAACTCAGAGATCCACCTGCCTCTCTCTGCCTCCCAATTGCTGGGATTAAAGGTGTGTGCTATCACTGTCCAGCTCCTTTCCTTTTCTTGTTGCTGTAGTCAAAGGCCTAGCCAGGTTAAGGCGACTGATTATGCCCCTCTTAGATGGTTTTGTAGTGCACGCTGGCCTCAAGATCCTTAGGCTCAAGTAAGCTTATTTTTTAGCCTCCCATGTTCCAGAAGCATAGAAACAAGGAGTGAGCCTGGTGGAAGATCCAGCTTGAATTAAGACCTGAAGGTTGGTGCAGAGACTGGAGAAGAGCGTGCTCAAGGAAGCAGGGAGAAGTAAGTGCCAGGAAGCTTGAGCAGTGATGTCAGAGTGGGTGGTTGAACCGAGGTGATAGGGCAGAGGGAAGATGGCACAGCAGAAGCTGATTCATTGGGTGGGAGATGCAGGCTTTGTTATGGGATAAGTGGGCAAAGGAAAGTGGCAAAATATGACATCATCTATGGGAGGGCTGGGGATGCCCTGAGCCCTCCCTGTTACTGACATCATGGGGAACTCAGCTTCAGCACAAGGGACAGCGCCAGGACTGTTGCCTGGAGACTGGCAAAGCCGCTGCTCAAGAGGCGGGGCTGAGCAGCCAGGGGAGGGGACTTGGGGAGAAAGCAAGCTGAGTTCCCAGTGTGGGAAAAGTCCAGGCATTACCTAGGAAATTCTGAGGGGGAAGGGGAGTTGGGTTGGAGGAGGTGTGTGGTGCACAGACCGTCTGGGAGAACTTCCCACATAGGTGACCAATCGTCTCAGACTGTCCTCATCCAGGATTCTTGTGGAACCATGGAGTTCCTCCAAAGTGGAATTAAGAGGCTGGCATGAGAAGACAGGGGTCTAAAAACAGGCATGAACTAGATAGGATTATGGGTTCAGAGAAAAGCAGAGAACTTTCAGAAATGTAGAATTAAGGTTTCAGGACGTTAATGAATCCTAGACCCACCATGAATTCTGGTGGGTGCTATTTAACTCCTAGACCTGGTAAGCTTGTTCAGCCAGTCAGAGTAGCGTTGTCCCATGAAAAACTACAATGCCTAGGTGCCAAAGCGGCTGGGATATGGTGTATTTCCTGGTGGGGAGAAGGGGTAGCGAGGCCTGGGTCAAGGAATTATAATCACCATAATTCAAGCAATCATGCCTCACAGCAGAAAGGAGTCCTGGCTCCCACCTTGGAGTTCTTCAAATCCAAGAGATTTCAATTTCAGAACCTTCCAGAACTTCAGCACCTCAGGACCTGCAATCCCTTTTCTTTCCAAAGTCACTCATCTTGCTCCATAACTCAAAAGGACTGAAGTGCAGCCATCCAGGTCTGCCCAGCTCAGAGTGATCGATCCATTCCATCGCCCTCAGGACAAGAGTTCATTCAGGTGACCCCCGCCAACCAGTCACACTGCTCATCATTCCCTTTTGCATACTTAGTGCTTCAATCTATGTATAAACCCAACTCTGTATCCCTGGACTGTGCCTCTGCCTGGCATACTCTTCCCTCACCCGTGAACATAACCCATCTTCTGACTCCAACTCCCTTAGCCTGTCTTGTTTGAGAAGATTTCCTTGACATTTGTTATCAAACTGGGCTAAGCCAACGAGGCCTGGAAGCACAATGTCTATAACCAGTAAACCACATAGTGAGAGGACAAAGCACCAGTCAAGGGGAATGGCACATGCACACTACCCCAGTACACAGAAGGCAATGGCAGGCCCCACCACCAGTTCCAAAGCCAGTCATTGAAGTAGAATTTTAAAAAATTCAAACACACAAAGTCTGTTTATTCTGGGAAGAGTGCAAGGGAGCCCTGTACCTAAACCTCTGTTATGATTGATCTTGTCACTGAGTCTCAGAGCAGGTCATGTGCACTCCCAGACTTGATCTCACACCCTGCCTGGATGTTTAGCTGAAGAGGACAGAATCTATCAAATGGATAGTAAGTTGGTAGGTGAGACTGGCTGTCACAGTCCAGGGAGACATGCCAAGTCCCAGGGGCAGTGCTCAAGTATGTGGAAGGTCTCGGTCGCAGCCTGGTTAAGAGACCAAATGTGGCCTTTCGTCCCCTCCTCTGGAGTTCAGGCCTAGGCCGACACACCAAGTACGAGGAAAACCATGACTCCTGCCCCGTCCTGCGGAGACTCCTGATGACCACTGATCATAGAGGACACGAGACTACACCCAAAGCAACCTGGAGAACAGAGCCCAAGGAGTGTGTCCATCATAAAAGAACTCCTGTCTTCTTCTTACTACTGGGGAGGGAAGGGGCAGCAGCTCCCTGGGTTGGCTTCCTAGGTCTGGAGGGCCAACTGCCAGGAAGGCC